TTAACATTTTAGCAATTTAATCCACTATACTGGGTTATGCATCTTTTTTTTCAATATAATATTACTTAATCCTATAAAAAATTAGTATACATTTTTGATTGGTGAGTTAGAGGTTAGATTATAAGCAAATAATTTATAACATATATCCTCTATGGGGCCAACAAGGGGGCCTATTTTATTTCAAGCACATTTGAAGGGGGGGGGGGGACTTAAACGGGGGCTTATTTGAGCAAGGGGGAGGGGACTTATTTAATTTACTGAAACGGCGTACCACATTGCTTTAATTTCCAAACAACTAAAAAACTGGTATCGATTCTCCACAAAGAGCTAGGACGCAAATTAGAAAAGGTCAAGCACATGACAATGGAGGTATTGCAGGTGAGGACCAAAACAAATTTCAACTTCCAGCATGTGAATAAATCATACCAGATCATTGCATCTTTTGACAATAATTATTGGGTTATGATGAATAAGCCCATGTTCATAGCTTTTCTGGGGACAGGGAACTTATAACTTTCCCCCCCGAAAAGGGGGTTTTGGGGGCTAGAGAGGGGGGCTAAATAGGGGACTTCTGGTGGTTGAATTTTTTGGAGAAAACTATCAAATAAGAAAAGAAATAATAATAACATAGAATTTGACTAATACTTTACACCGTGTAATGAGAATACTATTACCCTCTTTCAAAACAAGACTAGCCGTCTTATTTCAATGGAGATTACGGCAAGCTTTAAAAAGTAAATATTATAATATGTATGAAATATAACAAAGGAAGAAGTTGTAATAGTACTAATAAATTAAAAAATACGACTTCACACGGATTCACTTAAAGACCATGTAATACTGTGAGTCTGGAAATCAATAAAGCGAACATTTGCGTGTTTACAGCATATCCGTATTTGCATATGAAAATTACCACAAATAGTGGGTGATTTTAGGTTTGAATGGCATGAAAATTTGACAATTATTAGACACAACAAAATGAACAATGGGGCAGATACGTGCATTTCAAAATGCGCTTGTTCAAAGCGATAAAATCAAGTTAAGGCTTATTAAAATGGCCCAAAATTTGACTTCGAAATATGGAAGATGGTTTACCACTAGAATAGACCTTAGCCTACAATTTTTCTTTTAAATAGCCCGCAAACATGAACACCTGTGTGAACTTTAGATGCGTAAAATGACATAAGCTTCCACCTTTTGTTTAAGGGACTTATTGGTTCTTTTATGCTTCTTAGACTTCCAAGCCATTAGCTGTTTTTCCGTAGATGAATCATAAGCCACATTAGAATTGAAATTTTACATAGAATGGACACCTTCTAATTAATTACATGTCGAAAAGTCCGCCCACACTAAAAGATGTCAGATGTTTTCAGGATAAACAGAGCGATATGAAATAACACCAGATTAAAATGAGGTGAAACAAATGCTGTTCTAATTTCTGAGTTGTCAAGATGCATGATAAGAAATAGAAAATACTTTGCAAATTAAAAATAACAAGCTATACCTGGTCTCAGTATTCCAGATGTAGAAACTGGGCCGTCTTCTAGGATTCTATTCACAAATATGACGCCACCAACATTTTTAATTGTGCACCCCAACCCTTGTCCTTTCTCTCTAGGAATTGTGATACGCTTTAATCCACCGGTTAACTTGATGCTCTTTCGCCTGATTGGATCAGTTTCTTCTTCCTTTAACTCACTCTCCTTTCCTGCTTGAATAGATCGAATCCACAGCTCTCTATCTAACTCAGAACTGCAGCAGAAGCTGAAGAAAGGCTTCCCTTCCACGATCAAATTAAAACAATGTTTTCGTTTCTTGGTTTCAAACTTCTCAATCGCTTCTATGTCAACCAAGAATATCCGACCATCTGCTGTTCTCCCACGTTTCTCATCTTCTTCTTTCTTGAAAATACAAAGCAACTGCCTGTTGAGCACCACGAACCTGGTTCGCCATTGCTTCAGGAGACTGGTTTTCTTGTGAAGAAACCCTTCTCTGAGAACTCTTCTGTTGGTCTTCATGTTGGCTTGTCCTGCCATGGTACTCTTCCGCGACGCTATTTATTTAATCCAAACCCAGCAATGTAACGTCAAGAATGCAGCCCATTTTGGAAATCATACTCCGGAACGGATCATTTACGCGACGGAATCTTCAGGACAAAATATTTTGGAGTGACTCAACATTCACGCTAGTAACAAAGTAATGTGGCTGCCAGGCGGCGAAAGAGCAATATTTATCCTACGCACTTTTAAACATATACGGAAGTTAATGACCATCTATGCACATTTCACTTCCGTTTAAGATTAGATACGGCTTCCTCTGTTGTCCGTTGTTAGAAGGTCGAAACAAATTAGACTTTGATATTATATTTTCCCAGCAAAACAGCGTCAAAGATCACACGCCTCGCTGCTCCTGTTCCTGTCGTAGGAAAACCACATTTCCGTTCGACGATTTACAACCATAAAAGGAAGGAAAACCACGTGATCAATGAACTGAATAAGAGCCGAAGCAACGTCACTTTAATTTTTCAGGCAATATTCGTCACATTTTGTACTCAAGTGCATAAATTCTTTCACGAATGACTTGTACTTTCGATCATTTCGTATTCCAAACAAATAATAAACATGTACTAATGTTCTTGGTCCGATATAGTTATGAGACCTCATCTCCTAATATAGCTGTTGATTCAACCTATTAAAAATTTTTTTGCAATAATGTTACTTTTAAAAATACTTTTCTTGAAAAAGATTCTTAGCCTTGCTCAGCTTGTTTTTTTTCCTTAAAAATTACGGTGTAATTTCATCTCTTTTTTGTCCTAGGAAAAATTTTAGGGAATGTCACTTAAAATATTTCCACTCACAAATAATTATCCTTAGACACAGGGTTAATTTTAGCAGTATTGTGTAGATGACAACATACATTCTTTTTAATTCACTGTAATCATGTAATAAAATTGTTTTAGACTAATGCCATTATTTCTCATAGTATCGTTTTTGGCCTGGACCTGTGTGTCAGTTGTAAATGTCATGCATAATTACAATGGGATACACAGGAAGAAGAAATGATCAGAACAAGAAAGTAAAACATTAATAATAATCAGGCATCCTCTTCAAGAAAAATCCTTTCAAAGAGAAATTTAGAGCTGGTTTAATCTAAGCTTATTTTTTCAATGAAACCACCCAGCCTTGAATATATCTGTTGTTTTATTTTTTCACAAAGACCACCCATCTTTGAGCTTAAACTTGCTTCAGTGTGGGAGAGGTCTTGCCTTGGACTGCTGCCATGTTGTCTACAAAATAGACTGAGTGAACTTCCTAGTTTTGCTACCTCCGCATTGATTTAGGGAATAGTGAGAAGTGATCATAGTCTATACGTTTCATTGTAATACTCATAATTTAGCAGACAACACTGCAAAAGATCATTGTTTATTCTGAGGCCACATTTAGATGTGAACGTTTCATCCCTAGTCAAAGAAAAACTAATAAATTATTTGCTCACTATGGGAAACTAGCCAAGTTTTTTCCTACACAAGGAAGAACTTGTCGATTTCTCCTTGCCAAAGAAAACTAACTTATATCCAATCTGAAATTTGACAGTACATTGCAGGAATAAAGATTTAAACAAGGTCTACTTTCCTCACTGGTTGACATTACAAGAACATTATTACCAAAACTCTTCACTTTCACTCTTAATAGCTAGTGTCCATTAAAAAACTGACAAAAAGCCAGTATATTTCGCCTGTAAACAACTGAAGCAGTGCATGGACTAAGGCCCTAACCATGTGACTCTGATCTAATGTAAAACCCTCCATGTTATTCTCAATCAAATAAAATTGGAAGGAGAATTAGGAAATTTATTGGGACACTAATTTTTTTTAGGCTCTATCCAGGCACTATTTTGAGTACACGGTGGAGAAGCATGGGGCCCCACACACAAAATGGGAGCAATGAAAGTCTCAAGGGAATTATCGCAAGTGTGCCTGTACATATCATTATAATGCAGTCAACTCTTATTAAGATGAACACCTCACCGAATTGGATGCCTACATGTACAGTGTAGAGTTGGTTCTCTGCTCTTCTTTACCCCTTTTCGCTGACTAGCTATGACAGACAATCATCTCTCCAAGACAGACACCTAGTGCTACATGTAGTTCCAAAGCTGTCCATCTTAGAAAGAGTCGACTGTTAGCACACTCCTTAAGCAGTCAGTCTTAGTAAAAACTCTAGAAGAAAAAGTGTGACGAGAAATGCGATTCCCTTCCTATCAATGAAAATTATCCCTTAAAATATTTTTTGCTTTGATGAACTTCCCGCATTCCACATGGGACAATAAGGACAAGAACCAGCTGAGTTACAATGTAGGTTAGGGGTCCTTCCTTCTGTCAGAGTTCAGCCTTGATTACTTGTTACCAGCATCAACTTATACTGGTCCAAATATTATTTTCCTCAATAATTCTGTGAAAAACTCTTCTCAGACCGGTTTTATTTCTTTTAGGAGTAGCACTGAGCTACCAGGAGATCAGATTGGGAAACCAAAATGATAATATTATTAGCCAAGCCAGTCTGAAATAAAATTATTTTTTCACAACTGATCAATCTTATGCACAAAGATGAAAGAACTATGTCCTCTGTGGAGATTGATGAGAAGCCCTACCATTTTCATAGTCAACTGACAGAACCATACGTACATGTATAACTGAGTCATCCATGAAGTATAAGTTCATGCCAGTCTCATGTAACCAGGACCTTACTGACTAGTAGCTAAAGACAAAGCTTTGATTTGTCTCATGTTGAGAGTTAGCTAAGTAAAAATAAAAATAAGATTGACATCCTTCTTCACAGCAGCAGATACTGAATAGGAAACTGAGGCATTGTCCTTTCACAGAAACGAACCATTACTTTAACAGGCAAGCATGGCAAGGGACGGTACTAAAATATTCACCATTAAAGAAAAAACAATTTGCGGTCTTCAAGAAACATTTATTTCACATTCTTTACAGCATTTTATGACGATTGTGGTTGGGACTGCTGTTCGGAGGGCATAGACCGAATGATATCTGAGTCACCAGGATCTGTGATACTAAGGACGGCCACACGGAAGTACTTGCCACAAGCTGTACCCAGTTCAATGTTGTTGCCGGTGTAATGATGAACTCCAGTCTTTGCCAACATGGCATAGTACTCAATCTCACTTTTCCTGCAAAATAAATACAGAATTATTAACCTCAAAACTTTGGAAACCTCAAATGCAAGCAGGATATTAATCAAAAACATTTGAGCTAATTATTTTCCTTCTTTGTGATACAAGTAATCACGGATCTTTTCAAACATGATGGAAGAAGAATGTGCATTAGCTTAATAGCGACAAAGTTGAGGAATGATATGGGTGGAAGACATGGGCTGAAATAAATATACTGACTATATTGCTATAGACAAAAAGAATTTGAGTATGGTTACTTAATTAGAATTTTTAAACAAAAGTTGAAAAATGGCAATGAGGACAGTTGTTTTTGTTATTTTTCAGAACATAGTAATGACACAGTACCCAGTGTTCTCCCTAACTTTTGGCTCAGCAGGTAAGGGACCATTTTTGACCAGTAAGGCTAAAAATATGTGGCAGAGGTGCACTCTCCTGGCGGGGCGAGGGAGCTTTGCGTTTATGAAGGCTGTTTATGAGCATCTTGTCAATCAATTGACCGAAAAGTATTTCAAACACCTCAAAACAAAGAATTCATGAATGAAGGCTGCCTTTGCCGCTTATTGAGTAACACAAGTTGCGGAAGTCGCAAACTTTTCCTGCTGGTCAAGAAAGTCTAGAATTGGGACAGAGGCCCATGAAAAAATTGTTAGCCTCCAGTGCTTTGAAAGGTACCATTCAGCATCTAAATAAAGTAATCAGAGAGAAGAGCTGTGTATACTTTTTGATTTTCCGTATTTACTTCCTTTTCTTGTGAGGATCGGCTTGGATCACAACTTGTGTATTTTTTTAAACAACTTACATGTCTTTAATTTTAGTAACACCTCATTTGTTGAGGAGGTAAGAAGTGTTTCTTCAAGCGGTAAATTTTATTGGTAGCCGCCTGGTAAGGAGAACAATGAGTACCAAAATGATCGTTACTGTGAAATCCTAGGGCTTGTATTCATGGAAATCATTCTCACAAGACTTGTGAATTAAGGTAAAAATCAAAAGACTTTATTTCCCCAAAGGAAGGCCAGAAGCTCCAATTTTATTACCATTCAAACATAAGACCAATGAATAATTTAAATGGCTGTTGTTTATTTTGATGTTTTATCTAAAAGGTAACTCTTGAAGATTTCATGATACAGACCATGATTAACAGAACCTACATAAAAATAATAAGGCTGTAACAATGCATCCAATATTAACGCTGCGATAGCGATGGATTGATAGTAAATATGAAACACTGATAACAATCGTGATAGTGTAGCGAACTAACAATAGTTTCGATAGTTTCTAAACTTCTACCATTTTAACTTCTTTGGAAAATAAAGATACTCTTTTTACCCATCTTTGATTCTCAAGGTCTCAATAACAGTAAAAAAGAAACTAAAAACAATCTACTATCCTACTACACCTACATCTAGAATGTTTTAGCATCTTGATTCTTGAACCGCTTTGGGTCTAATGTTAGAGAGGGTTATTATATTATTGCTGAGGTTCATTCAAACTTCAAACATGGCGGCCAATTTTGCATTGTTGCAAACAAAAAGGGGAAGGCTGAAAACTATTGCAATGCTATTGCAATAGTACCTCCACTATCGCAATTTCCGTGTGACCTATTGCAATACAATTGCAATAGTTAAAATTTCCCCAATAGGCGCCCCTAAAAAATAACTATTGGGAAATCTTCATAAGCAGCATTTAGAACTGTGACTGTTTTGATCACCACAGCAAGTAGGAAAAAAATTTGGCAAATAAATTGCAGTGAAACTCACCACTTTGGCGACAATTTTGATGACCAAAAGTTCAAAAAAAAAAATTAAAAAATTCTTAGTGTTTTTGCTTAATCTGTGCTGACATTCTACAATTTGGCTTGAAAGTTTTTGTTCTTTGGGGCAATACTTCTCAAATTTAAGCATTGACTATGTTAATGTTAACAAGGATCATTCAGTGTTTACTGTACTTTCAACCTCAAAAATTGAGTACAAGACATTCTTTATAATGCTCTCACTGAATTTGTTCAAACATAATGAATATCAAGGCAACTATTAGTGATACCAGCTTTTGTAAACAATTCTTGAAAAAAACTGCCAGTGCAGAGGAAATAATAGTGACCTAATATCTTAAAGTTGCAATGATAAGTCAAGTGTCAATATATCACTGGTCACGATAGATCTTCATCTTTCTCCATTACAGCCATGATGAATGTTTTCCAATATCTCTGTTAATGGCAACATAATCTAGTTGCACAACCCTTAGCACTCATTATAGAATGTTGTTACAGGTGATAAAGCACTACCTTCCAGTAGTGCTGTGATTATATATTACCAGCTATAAACATTACCTGAGCTGAGGTGTGTTGTTGGCAATGATGACCAGCTTTGCCTTGCCCTGTCGCAGAGTTTTGAGAGTAGATTTAAGTCCAAGTGTATACTTTCCACTCTTCATCACAAGAGCAAGTCGAGAGTTAATACTCTCCATTGCCTTTTTCTGCAAATAAAAGAAATATTGTTAGATGACAGGCCTGTTAGGCTAGTGAGGTGTTACTTTGAGCTGCCTTCCAAACAAGCAACCTTTTGCATTTTAAGAAAAGAACAAGAATGCTTATAATAGCATTTAGTATTGTTTGCTTGGAGATTAGATATAAGAAATGAGGAAGCTATTAATTCTATGTTAAACAGGATTTCCTCACTAAAAGTTTTTCACTCCCTACTTTATTGCTGGTTGAGTACAACAATTTTTCAAGACGTTTACTTTTTATATAGTATTCGACTATTTGTGAGTACGCATGTGTAAATACATGAAAACTAAGGGCCTCAATTCGAGAGAAATTACATAAAAATGCGGTGAACAAGGCGCGTCATTTTAATCATCTCGAAAATAAACCACATGTTCCTCACAAGACTCATTTGTATACAATGAACGTTTACAAAATCTGACCAGTAAGCCTCACCCAGTGCGTCCTGGGTCCCTGTTGCATAAAAATCCCCAGACACAGAATAATTAATGGCACGCGTCCCGTAGGACGCAAAGATTGATTGATCGATCTGAATATGTGCATTTGTAGAAACATCTGGCTAGTTTGTGCTATCTTTGTGGCAGTTATTATGGCTGTTGTTTAGCCTCTGTTGTGCTTAAAAATAGAAGGACTATATTTTAATTTCAATACACTGTAATTCAGAGTTTTGGAGTCTGTTTTCAAATTAACTTTCTGGTTATATAAAGGCCCAAGCATTTTCAATTTCAAACTTGCTGTTTTTTGACTGGGACTCATGATTTTTCACAAGATGAGTCCCAGAATGCACCATAACTATTCCTAACAAAATCACTGCTCACCATCAGGAGTCTCACAGCTAAAGCAAGCAAGACTAAATAATTATTGTGTGGTTCCAGAAAATATCCAACACCTAAATTACACTCGCTTAAACAACTTAGCAAACGATAGCAAAAAACCCAGAAACTTAAACGGTTCCTTTCTGGCTGTTTATTTGTCTACACATTTTGTCAGTTTCTTCAGGTTGATTCGTTTTTAAGGACCGAAAACTTCACTGACACATGCCAATGTGCTATTCGTGAACGTCATCATGATTGCAGAAGTAATTTTACCGGGCCTTCTGATGGTCGAGTAAGAAATGGGAATGAGGTTCTCTCGTCTCATCGCATTTTTTGTGAGTTACTACCCCAATAAACACTAATAAAACATGAAACCTATCAAAAATGTGTTTCCTACATTTGAAGGTAGCAAAATGGGATACTCAGTAAATGAAAGTGACAGCACTTAAATGTTGGTCGGAAGAAAATGAGACGAAACGGGAAGTCTGGGGACAAGACTCCAGTTATATCCGCCACTTTAGACTGTTTTGGCTTCGTTCCAAAGACACATCGTTCTTCTGGAGATTATAGTGCTAGATAACTCAAAGAAAAACAGAAACATTAAAGCTAATGATGTTAACCTCATCTCAATTGCCAGGAGTACTGACTTTTGTTTCAAAAAACATACGTAGGTTTGTTTTTGTGCTTCAGATCAATCATATGTTGCTTTCAATGTTTTGTACATGGTTTGCTACCCTTTGGAAAAGTACTTTCCCATGACCCCCACCCCCCACCTCTTGGAAATTACCACCTTTGAACCCCCAACCCCTCGGAATTTCCAATGATCTTCCGTGGGGGGTGGGGGGGGGGGGAAGGATAGTTTCTGGAACCACACAATTGTTAAAAATAGTTATGGGCTACCCAAAGTCTGAGTAGGTAGGGGCTGAGTTACCTCCTCAGTGATCTAAAGTTAAAGCAAAAAATTATCTTGCTCTTAAAGCAAACTGAATTCCTTATTTCCATTCAATAAATATAAAAACAATTACAGCAGTAGACAAACTTCTTTCTAAAGGTAACATGAAAACATGTAAACTATTACAGTGAATGATAAAAATCATTGGGCTATCTGTCAACAGATTAAACTGCTATAATCTAACTACTCCATTAAACCATATTTAACAATAAATCATCTACAGACATCATCAAAAGGACATAGATGGTCTGTTTTTAATTCGAAACTGTTAATATTTTTGGTTGTAAATTCAGCAACAAACACACGTGTGAACGTCGAACTGCATACCTGTTTTTTTGAGGAAACCATTTTTACTGTTTGACCGCCTGTGATCAAGATAACAATGTCTTAGTAACAATTCCAACTGGAGTACAAAAGGAATGGGTTAAAATCTAAGCTTCAAGCGGTTTAGTTCAGTAGTTATACCTAGAAAACTTTCGTATTTCACCAGGAAAAGCGTTCAAGGCAGCCACGAGAGATGGAAGAGAACGAACTACCCACAATTCCTTGTTCTTATACCCCGTATGTAGTGTCAGTACGCAAGCGCTACATTTTGCGCGAAATTTCAAAATGGCGCCTTCCTTGAAACAAGTTTCTTCTGGACAGTTATCCTCTTGATTATGACTCAGTCGATTGTTGTTCAAGGTAATTTATTGATATATTTTAAAGACAAATGGCTCAATATAGCTATACATAATAAATTTTTAATCATTCATTTTCTTTCTTTGTGCTCTCCGTTTTACAGTGGGACAATGCGGAAACCAAGTAAGATGAATTATAATTTAAGCTTAACTTAATTTATCACTTGTGAGCGTGTTATTAGTCTTGATGCTGAGATTGCGCGATAAAATTTTTAAAAGAAGGCATGAAAAAAAGTAAGAACGTAAACGTTATCTTTTGAAATGTTAGTTAATTCAAACAGCACACCCTGGCATTTGACTGAAAAAGATTGGACCGATTCCCCATTATTTTGGCAGTTAAGACGGTCAAGTACAAAATATATCACCAGAAGAGAGACCAGATGCATGAAGAGATGAAAAATCATGCCATCTGTTTAGGACGACAGAATAAAATATTGACTGAAAAGATCACTTTAGTAATTAAGGTTCCAAATAGTTTTTTTACCATAACTAAGTGATTTCTCACATGCTGATTGGTTGAGAGGTAAAGAGGTATGTTCGATAAGAGTACAAACCATGG